TCAGCTTCTATGCATGCACTACACAGCAGATGCTCCCTGGTATTGTTGTCAATTTCCCAATAACTGCCACAAAAGAAAAGTCAGCAAAAGCTGTCATGATGGGCAATTCACACAGCTTTCTCCCACACAACCACTCTACTTAAACCCCAGAAAACTGTTTTGAAGATGTAGCACGACTCACATACCATTTTCCCAGGGCCTTGTGGCCTCTCTTTTGGCAAATGATGTATTCTAGTCACATAGTGGAGAAGTTTTTGTCCAGCTGGGAGAGACAATAAAGAGGAACAACCTGCTGCTAATACTGGAATAATTTGTCAGGTCTAGACTCTGTTTCCTGCATGTTGCCAAAGACCTCTAGCAAATGGGAACATCAAGAATGCCTGCTGAACCAGAGGAAATGTACTGAATGCACTGCAGATTGGACACCCTTTCATTACAGCATTTAGAAAACCAGTCTAGACTATATAAGGGGTAGACTAGCAGAGACTTACGGTCTCATCCTACAGGCAAAGGCGATCTTTACTAAATTCTATTTACCTCCTCTTGTTATAAAGTGTAAATATATCATCAGCCAATCTGTCAGGGGTGTTACAATGATTAAGTAATTAACTTTTGGAAAGATCTTGAGGAAAAAAGAAATTCTAAAGATTAGAAAAATTACTGAAGCAAACAGATGACATCAAAGCAATAATCAAAAAAAATATTACTTCTTGATGTGCATTTCTGTCTTTAAAGATTATGGTTTGCTACTGCATATTACACATAATAAACATGAAAATCAGTGAACTTTCACTTAAGATTTCTACATCAAGCAAAAAAACTCACTGTTACTGCGAAACCAGCTCTAAGGAAAAGAAGATATGGTTTTAAAAGTCTTAGTGCTGCAAACACTTAAATTTCTCTCACATACATGATTATTTCCATTGAAATCATGGAGGGTTCTCAGAGTCATACAGACTGGCATATGCATCAATTGCAGGAAATAGGGTTCAGTTATCACCACCTTTCACTTCAACCACATCTGTGTGAGCTTCCTGGCTATACTTATCTTTGGATTGGTGCTAAATAGGTAACTAGTGCATAATTAACATGGCAAGCTTTTTAATTTTGTGAGCACGAATAAAGATTGGGCAACAATAAGAAAGAGGCATTTGAGCATTACGAATAAATATCATAGAATCACAGAATTGTTTAGGTCAGGAAAGATCTTTAAGATCAAGTCCAACCGTTAACCTAGCACCGCTGAGTCCACCACTAAACCAGGTTTCTAAGTGCCATACCTACACACCTTCTAAATATCTCCAGGGACAGTGACTCAAACATTTCCAACGTTTGAAAACCCTTTCAGTGAAGAATTTTTTCCTAATATCCAATCTAAATCTCCCCCAGTGCAATTTGAGGCCATTTCCTCTCCTCCTATCACTTGTCACTTGAGAGAAGAGACCAAAACCAGCCTCACCACAATCTCCTTTCAGGCAGGTGTAGAGAACAAGGTCTTCCCTGTGCTTCCTTTTCTCCAGGCTAAACAACCCCAGTTCCCTCAGCTGCTCTTCACAGGACACGTTCTCTATATCAATACTGTGTAAAACAATACAGAATTTCTTTTTCATCTTCTTGGAACAAGCTCAAGAATGTATACGTAAGTCCAAGTGTGTTACTAAAAAAGATGCCTTTACTATGTGCATGTTTATGCATAGCAGTGCATTTGAAAAATTTTATACTTACACTTAATCAAACAATTGATCTTTTTAAAACCAGACAAGTCATGCTTTGGTGACTGATCAATCAGTATTTTCATCAATTTCAGGGAAAATACAGTTCAGCCCATCCCAGTGGACAGCTACAGAGGGAGTAACATGATTTCAAACTCTCAGTTCACAAAGAACTACTTTAGTTCTCGATTATATTTACAAAACACAATACAGTCTGATATATATAAAACAAGTCTCTTGATACAATTTTCAATCACAGACCTCAAATGCATTATCCTTTTACATTTATAAATACATGCAATTTTAGAGCTACAGTTCTCAGCCTTTTAAAGTCAGGAAGATCCTTCCCACTATGACATTACCTGCCAGTAATCTATTTCAGCCACCTGCATAACTGACTTTCTTAGAAAGTTACCAGTGTGTTAACAGCCATCTTACATTATACATAAAGAGTGGTAACTGACATGAGAATGTAGGCCCATTAATATTCTTTTCTATCTTCGCAGACATATTTCTCTTGAAATAGATTCTTCAGAAGTATAACAGCTTAATTGTTTCATCTATTTGGAATGTTACATTCTAGCTAAATTTCCATTGACAATTCTCATGTCAGTACTAAGAGTTGTTTGGGGATTTTTAAAGAAAATATACCACCAGTAAGTTTCATGCTTTTAATATCTAAATAAATCAACCAAGCTTTAAAAATGATTCTCATGAACACACACAAAGATGGAAATTTGTGTTCTGTAAAAACCTGCATTGTAAGTAGGGTACGCATTAAAGTTACCTGCTACAAATAGTATAACTTTTTTTCCCAGAATCCAGGCTTAGGAGTGCGAGGTAATTTTTTTAAGAAAGGGCCAAATAAGCAACAAATACTGAATTCTAAAGGGAACAATGAAGTACCTATATACAAGCGTGCCCTGCAATTCAGTGATGGCAGAAAGCCATGATTTGAAATCAGGTACACTGCATATAAGCAGTACAAAAACCATCAAAGCAGTTAATGGATTAATGCAGTAAGTAATAAAAAAATTCAATCCCAGTATCATACAGTTACTGATCTGGAAAATACAGAAATGAAAAATACCTATGTTTGCTGATAGAAACTTGAGTTCTCTATGTTACCTTCAAAAGAAAAATCAAACACCCTTCCTGAGTAACACTTTGTCATACCCTCAAGTTTTGAGCAATTCCGCACAATATAATCTATTATATCAAATATACAACACATACTGTCAGTAAATTGCAACATGAGAATTAAAATTAACAGCCAGTCTTGCAAAAGGCACAGCACTTTCAGCACCAAGATGTGCATATTGAACTTCCTATCTGTAGTTATTACTTCAACATGGCTTCATCATAATCTCTATAAGCATGGCTATTCATCAAATATGCCATGATTTTGTGCTTCAGAATCACTTATATAACACCTGAGCCAGAAGCCCTGTTTGTGACATCTCTTAGTTTTAAGTTGATTTTGTATAAGCCTTGCCAGTTTGCATGAAATGCATGGTAGAAAAATGTTACAGGTTTTGCATGGCACAAATTCGGAATGAATTTCTGCAATCAAATCTTAACTAAAAAATAAACCAAACCCCCCAAAAACCCTAAGAACTTCACTTGTTTGTACAAAGATAACATTCAGCCCAAACTTCAAGACACTAGAATATAAAATTCCTTTTATACTGCCTTTCTGGTTCCAGATAGCTCCAGGGATGCAAGTATCTGGACCAAAAGACCTACACATCTACTGCACACCTTTTCCTCACTATCGCCACAGAATTTAACAAGATTTTATACTGTATGTGACACATAATGAAGACTATAACATTACACACACATTTATCTACTGTGGCTTCCAGATGCCACAGAATCCTACAGGAGTTCTTTGATTTATGCCAGCAAAAGACACCTATTCATCTTTCTTTTTATGTTACACTGATAAAGTTGGAAAGGTTTGTAAATTGCAGGAGGAAATAAGGAGGTAACGCAGTGACAGAGTAATTATGGCCTTTACTGGAATGCATGGATTAGTTCTGGAAATACCAGTTAATTCTATGAAGACTGCAAGCCCACAGTCACAAACACTGTGACTTCCTTCTAACGCAAAGACTAACTGACTCACTGTGACACTTGAGTTACCCAGCCCATTATCTCTTCTTTCTTGTAGAAACAAACGCAAGCATCACTTAAAATTACTGAAAAAAAGAATATATGTATTAATTTACAATTATTTAAGCATAACAAAAAACTCTTTTACCATGAGCATGGTCAAGGACTGGCACAGGCTGCCCAGAGACGTTTTAGTCTCTGCCTTCAAAGACAGTCAAAACCCAAATGAACAATGTTCTGATCAGCCTGCTCCTGCTGACTGAATTGAGGACAGGGCTGGACTAGATATCTCCAGCAGTCCACCTCAGCTATTTTGTGATTCTATGAAGGCTGCTAAGGAAGCAACATAAATAAAATGAAGTAGAGCACCATTTGTTTTTCTGATTTTTAGATTAAGGTCCAACCTGAAGGAAAGAGTTTGTGATTGAATTCCTAAGTGTAAGAATGCTGAGCTATCTCGAGACTGCATATTTTCCATGCTTTGGTCCCACATAAAGTTCTATACAGCAAAAATTGAAAAAAAAAAAAATCCATTACTACCTTTTAAGTATCTTACACTGAAGCTTTTAAAAATAGCAGAAAACAGACAATTAACTTTCTTCAACAATTTCCCTCTTCTCACAACTAGTAATTCTAGGAAAGGGAGGAAGCAGTGAACATACAGCCTTCTAGAATGCAATTTTAACATACAATAGAATCTACTGGAAAATTACAATCAAATCCTCTCAAGAGGTTACAAATTCACATTGCATAAGCTATTTGCAGCTAGTAAGTGGCAAATAAAATCCATTGAAGTTAGAACTGTGATACAGCTAAGAAAAAGAAGAGCCGGATGAAAGCCAGTGAAGCTGATTCTGTTCCTTGTGCATAAATACATTCTCCAAGTAGAACCTGCGAGTAATTTATGTACAAAATCAAATTAATTACTTTTAGCACCTGAAGTGTTTGATATTTCATGATATTTTGATGATAGTTTACTCACACACATATATGGTCTTCGTTACAATCACTCCTGAAAAGTTTCAAGTTAAACCTTCACACAGCTGCTGCATACTTTAGCTTCAGACATAGGGAGCAGTTTCACAGTAATCTATGTTTAATGAGCTATTACACATTTTAGATTAATCTATAATAAAAAAGTATCAGAAAATATACATAATTTTTTGCAGTTACCAAGCAGTTCCATTGCATCATCTTCATTGTCAATATCTTCTTCGGTTACAGATGGAGCTGTGCTTTGAGCAGAATCAAAGGAGTCCTGAGAAAGCATGGCAGCCAGCAGTTTCTTATGTTGCTGCTGTTGTTGTTTTAATCCTTTGGTCTTTGGCTCCATTTTTAAGCTGTGAGGGAGGAAAGCACAACTTTCTTTTACTGGTGCTCTCTACGAAGTATGTTACACATTTGTAAAATTACTGTAGCCCATGATGTCTTCAGATCTAAAGGTTAATGCCATCAGATCGCACATAAACCAGCTGGTTATCATTCATTCCCTGACCATTGGATGTTGTTGTCCTGGTTTCAGCTGTACCAGTTATGTTTTTCTCCTTCCTCATAGCTGGTGCAGTGCTGTATTTTGGCTTTAGTCTGAGAACAATGCTGATAACACACCAATGTCTTAGTTCTGCCAGTGAGGAAGGGTATGTGAAGCCAGGAGGGAGCAGAGACAGGACACCTGACCCAAACTCACCAAAGGAGTATTCCATACCACAGCATGTCATGTCCAGTATATAAACTGGGGGAAGTTAGCCAAAAAGTGCAGATCACTGCTCAGGTCAGACTGGGTGTCGGTCAGAGGGTGATGAGCAATTTGCATTATGCATCACTTGTGTTTATTGATTTTTATTAATTTTTTTTCCCTTTCCCCTTTTAGTTTTATATTCTCTCCCCTTGTTATTTCCCTTATCATCATTATTAGTAGCAGTAGAAGTAATTTTATATTATACTTTCATTATTGGACTGGTTTTATCTCAACCTGTGGGATTTATATTCTTTAGATTCCTCTCCCCATCCCATCTGGAGGGGTAAGGGTGGAGGGGTGAACCAGTGGCTGTGTCCTTCTGAGTTACCAGCTGGGCTTCAACCACAACAGTTATAGATCAGTTTGTGTTCTCAGTTCCTACCTAAATTTTGACTGAATGATGACAGGAAATTTCCCATTGACTTCATAGATATTAATCAAGTCTAAATAAGCTACATGTACAGAATAGAATGGCAATTACTAATCAGTATTGCTAAGGCACTGATCATACAGCAACAAAGTTGAAAACAAAGAACTGTTCCCTTGAGTGGGTATGTTACCATAAGCCCACAGGATTAATGACTATATACTTACAACAACAATTCTCATGATTTGTTGACTTGTGTCCCTAACCTAAGCAACAGACAACTGGAACTGCACAGAAGTTAGCAGAAGGGCCTAAGGAGGACTTGCTATAGTTAGCAGTTTCCAATTCCTTACAATATCAAGACAATGGGACACAAGTTTGGTGCCTCACATAAGGATACCAGCAACACCTCAGACTGTTGCACAGTCTGTTGCAGGAAGGCAGATCTATTGCAAACATATGAAATTTACTATAATCGATAACAGTTAATTTCCCACTGCAAAGATAAACACTAGTAAGACAAAGTGGACTTTGGAGATGAAGAACAGACTTTGAGTTCAGAACATTAGGTTATGGATGAGGCTTCTGCAAGCTCCAGTTCATTTTTGGGTCTAAGAAACAAGAGCATCATATTAAAAATCACTAAATTCCCCACTGTGTACATACACTGTCACTTGAGAAACTTTCCCAAGAGCCTTCTTGCTTCTGAGAATTCCTCCAGGAATTTTTTAATGTAGAAAAACTACTGAAAGTGACTTGGAAATGAGTTCAATCCTATTTTCACTCTGAATTTCTGAAACAAGAGCTCGGTACTAGCAAGATTGCCATCAGCACTTTTATATGGTCCCTTATCACATATTAATACTTTGCTTTGCTCCCTTACAGCAGCAACAGAGCAGTACAAGATCAGTGACAGTTTTTCCTCTATAGTAGTCCAGAACATTAAGGGCAAAAAGGTAACCCTTCATCAGTCTGACAAGACATAACTAATACAACTGCCACAGACTGGCTACATTATCCTTCCCAGTCATAGTAGTGGTAAAATCTGTCCTTTCAGTTGCTCAGAATTAATTCCCCCTCTTTTTTTTAAGTAAATGGTCCTGGCTTTCAGATATAAAACATACCTGCTTCTGTTGCTTATCATCACAGGAATATATGGTAAGAGATAGTGCTTCTCTCCCACTGTTCACTATTGAATTGAGCAAGAAGTGAGGTTTATAGTTGCAAAGACAGAAAAGCAGGCAACTTACAGATTCCTAAATATCACATACTATGTATACTCAGTATTATCTGCTGTATGCTGAAAAGACCAATATTGAAAACGGGCATGTTATCAACAGACCAGTGGTCCATAGGAATACGCCATTCTCTGCAGCCTGTTCAGTCCCTTACAGAATTACATGAATGTGTAAGGACCCAAGGCTTTCCCTTCCACCAAACAAAAAGAAACGGTGTGCTATGGTCTCTGGAAACAACACAGAAAGAGGGAGTCACATGACACCGATGGCAATTACTCTACTAGTGATCTGACAGTACTTAACCATCTGGATATTTATGTAGTATTCCATTCATGTTGCATTTCCTTATGTTTAGTGATAGGTAAAAGAAGACGTACTAACTGGAAATAATGGGACAATTCATTTTCATTTTCCTGTTCTTATGCTGTAATTGAAGATTTGGATTAGTTTTGAGTTTGCTGGCTTATGACATAAATCCTGATGATTAGTGATCAATAAACAATCACTTTTTATTAAAAGTGTTGCTAAATCAAATTTAGCAAGATATAATTTGTAACATTTAATGTGAATTTCAAATTGTTCCCTCTTTCAGTTGCCAGATAAAAATGTAACTGAATTACTTTAGGCTACATTAAAGATAAAGAAATGAATGAAATAAGATGAGGCAGACAAAAATTCTTTACAACTGATATCTTCATTCTTTTAAGAGTTTCATTTAAACTTGCAAAATCTATACTATTCACACTACTTTTGGATATACTAGGTATATGCTACATTTAAGCTAAATTATTATTACCTATTACTTGTCTCATGCATTTGGTGTTCCAAATTTTGTTAGTAGCACTTTACTTCACTGTAACACTGAATCATACCTGGAAGGAACTACCTGTTATTAGCAAACTATTATTAACCTTTCAGCTTAACCTTGATCAATACAGGTCTTTTAAACTCCCATACATACATGGCACCAATTTTAGTATCATCACTACCTTGAACTTCCCAAAGTTAATGATTATTTTGCAAGACTGCAAACATGCTTTTTATAAATGCCTTACAAAAGCTGATGAAATACTAATGAACCAAAGAATTATTCCAGATACAAAAGCAGTCATCCAAATGTAAAACCATATGCTGCATGTAATTTAGTAGTTACTCACTTCCCCTGAAAATGAGTATTCCCACTTAACGATACATATTCTTCAGCAAGTCTTCAGCACCTAACTGCACCTCAAAACTAGAGATACGTGTCCTGTGAGACCTTCCTGGCATCAAGTATCCCATATTCTCCTAATTTTATACACCAGGCAATGTGATTTTGTCATGCTAATCAACAAGACTTCTCAAATAAAATTCTCAAAGACATTAATTCCATTAATCACATTTTTTAATTACAGAATTAGTTGTGAGGTTTCCCACAGCCTGAACCAGCCTCTACAAAAGAAAAAATTCACTGCTTTGAATCATCTTTGTTAGTCAGAACTAAACTTTTTTGCTTCCTTCTAGAGATTAGACAAGAGATGCTTATTTCTGCTCCTTCCTATTGAGTAAAAGGATACAATATCCTCAATTTGCTTTGCAACATATAACAGATCATTATTCACTGTCTTCATTAGACTGCTGAATAAGGAAAAAGAAACCCAGGTCCTCACAATGAAGCTGCAGTGCCAGTCACTGACCCCGTTACTTTCCCAGGAGCTACACTGGAGAGACCTAGCATCTGAGTTCTGCTGGTGCCAGTACAAAGTCTGGCTGAGGGATCATTACTACATGCTGCTACTTCTTTGAAATAGTAGCACTTACAGCTGCATCCCTCGCCCACCCAATAATCTAATTAAAAGAAGAAAGAAGTACTCATAGATAACAAACATTCACAACATGTGAAGAATGCAGCCTGTAAGAGCCTGTAAGTGATAGACTTTGTTTCCTTCTGACATGGAGGTGAATTCCAGTGTGGAAGGCACATGGAGGGCATAGTGAACTAATACCTTAGGCCTTTTCAAAGGGAAGCAGAGACCTTCTGCCTTCTTAAAAGAGGAAGAGAAAGGCTTCTATTGCAGTCAGAGCACTAGTTATATCCAAGGAGAAAGGCTACAGGGCTGAGGGAGAACCATAGGTGTTTAAGCCAATTAACAAAGGCAGCACTTGACACTTAAAAAAAAAAAAAGAAAAAAAAAAGAAAGAAAGAAATACTTCACTTTCTGTGACCAACAGGTATCTTTAAATGATGGAAAATGGACCAATTGTAAAAATGATAATCACTTCCAGGTAGCTGAAGCACATTAATAAAGAAACATACTCCTCTACTCTCAGTAAAGCCCAATAAATCATTAGAAGTTGTTTACTGCAGAGATTACAACTTTCACTTTGAGAAAGACTTGTTATTAACACCAAGATGCTAAGTATAAGAATTGAAGATGAATTTAGGAAATCCTGCTAAAAATAACATAGGTACTGTTTCCCTTGTTTATCTTTCCTTTAAATGAGAAAATCAGATTTACCACTAAAATGTCAAGAAGATTAATGAATAGGTACTACCAACCACTTAAAGACAGAAGGGTTAGAAGTATCTGAATGAAGCAATACATAAAAAAATCATGTCATGTTGACAAATCATGTCAACATACACTGAGCTTTATATATAGGAATAAAACCATGTGGTTGCAAATAAGTATAAGGTTAATATACAGAAGCATGATAAGAAACCAGTCATGTATTAATTTTGCATGCTGCCACACTACAGCATGGGAATTTAAAAGCCTTGCACTCTGCTCTCAGAAATTGGGTGTTACAAAGACAGCTTTATTTCACAAATTATAAAAATTCTAGGCCAAACCAAAATCCCACCTTCCTCCAGGACTGCTGCTATCCTCACTGTCCCACTGCTCATTTTTATTTCTTGGTATTGGTGGCTGCAGCATCTCAGCAGCCAGTGGGTCTGCATCATTCTCTTCACGACCAATCCATTCTCCAATCACACGAGGTCTGAGAAGGGGGGTGTTAAAAGCCGCTGTGTCCTGAAGAGAAATAAATAATAATAAAAAAAACCATAAACACTGCGCTGCGTGTTCTCAACCACGCATGCAAATAGGAGAAAAAAATAAAATAGAAAATTAAACTATTAGTTTCGAAAGTACAAAACCAGTAAAGTACATTATCATTTCAGAGGGCTACAAAATGCTCCGTAACAATCACGAACTAAAGAAAAGATCCCCATTAACAAAATTCCAACAGAGATTTGCCCACCCTGATGCCTAAAATCTCTCTTCTTAACTTTTCACAGCAACCATAGAAATCTGCAATATAGGCTTGAAAAATTATATATATATTTTATAAACACACAACTCTTGTAATCAGTACTGTGTCAGTTCTGCTAAGAAACACGAGGTCACTTGTATAATGAATACCCCAGCAAAAAGACTGCTGTAGATTAATAGCATTACTCTTATTTGCATTATGAATTAATGCAAAACTAATAGCATCTGCATTTGGCATTTAAAAATAACCCTGCTGGGATTTACATAATGTATCTTTCAGTTCTGCAAATGGTATTAACATTTTAATAAAATACATTTCTAAAACTAGTACTCATATTTTTAATCACTGATTGGACGAAGGTAGCTGGAGAGGATTACAAGAAGCAAGCAAAATGCAACTGGAATATTCAATACAATAGTTGCATCATTATATCAGGAAATTAGATTAAAGAAACAAATTGTCCTTAAAATTGTATGAAACAACTGTTCTGAAGTGACGAGTATTCTCAGTGTTATTGGAATGGTTGTAAAGGGTCATGTACAACTGCAGTCAAACTAAAAAACACGCATGTATGCAAAAATAAATTGAAATGGGATAGGAATATTTATTTTGCTTTAATTAAACTATTTTCACACTTCAAATACAGTGTGGTCCTCATTAGAAGAGATATATCTATTCCTATCCTTTAATGAGAGAAAGTTTCAGGAAAACAAATCCTTGGCTGTTACCTAGCTCAGTGTCTCAATAAATATTCCTGCCATAAAACAATGTTTTTAAAACAAAAAAGCATCTGGAAAAAAGTACAGCACAGTGATTGCTTAGCCTAGAACCATATTTTCTCATCTTCCTAAAAACAAACCATTTTTAAAGTCTTTTCCTAATTGACACAGATACGGTAAAAGCACAGTTTGAAGCAGAGGTCTACTAATATGAGACAAAAAAAAATAATAAAAAAGGCTGCAAACTGCTTTCAGATTAATATATTTATCCCACTCTTGCTAGATGTTGCAATTTTGCTCAGCAGAATAACAGAATCATAGAATGGTTTAGGTTGTAAGCAACCTTAAAGCTCATCTAGTTCCAAACCCCCTGCCATGGGCAGGGACACCTTCCATTAAACCAGTTTGCTTAAAGCCTCATCCAACCTGGCCATGAACACTGACAGGGATGGGGCAGCCACAGCTTCCTGGGCAACCTGTGCCAATCCACGAGCTTCATTTTGACAGAGCCAAAGGTGACCCAGGCCCTGAATTATACTCATACACCCTTGTTCTTTTGTTTTGTTTTCTGCAGTATGCTGTGAGTGCATTCTCACACCCCAGTCTCCATTTCTCTATCCAGAGTGCTCCATCACTTGACTAATTCAGTTTTTACACAATTTTCCATTTTCGGCAATGTTGATGTGACACAGTAGAACCACTGAAAATGGAATGCAGCTGATACAGAAGAGAGAAATCTGAGGTAAACATCACAGCTTCAGAGGTTTTATAATACCTAACCACAGGTGTCTTTCTTTTCTGTACTTACAAATACGCATTTTGTGCATTTGTCTGGTGCTGTTATAGTCAGGTAATGTAGACTAGAAGACATGGCCTCTGGTCACTTGACAGACGTAACCTGTTACAGGTGTGACTAACATCATATGCCTATGAGCTAGGAAAAACGATTATTCTACTGCCCACAATGCTTTCATTACACAAGGTGCTCACCTTAGTTTCTTTAAGCAAGAACCATTTGGCCTCTTTTAAGGTTTATTCCTGCTACTCTGGTTATTTTCTCCCTTCCCCTTTATTTATTTTATAGTAATTACTAAAAACGGCTCCTGGAGCTAGTTAAACTTGCAACAACTTGCACTGTCAATCTTGCTAAAAGCTTTCTGTCCTGTAAGTGAAAATGGAAAGTACCTAAAAATTCACCCTTTTTTCAATACCATAATTTTTTCCTGACACTGTATACTGCACCATCAGCATATGAATAAATAAACCATTAATGTTATGTCTATCCTTGTTATGCTGATTTCTTTTCTAGACATTTTAGGGATTAAAGTAGCACTTCATATTCTAAATAGAAATGTAATTTACATTACATAGTCATGCTTTGCCTCACTTTATCACCTTGCTTTCCTTTTTGAATCTCGTTAGATTAGTACACCACAGTTTCGGTGACCTAATTTATTTCCTTCCTTTCAACTATATAAGCAGCCACAGTGCAAACAGTAAATAGAGAATCAGAGATGGCTCTTTTCAGAACACCAGAACATTTATGTGGCACCTTATTTAAAAAGCTTCTATAAATTCAGATGAAGTATTCTGTCCTCAAACACAGGGCGTTTGTTTGTTTGTTTGTTTAATATCAACCTTAGATCTTAACTGATTTCCAATTTATATTTCCCCATAAATAACATAAGAGATTGACCCTGACATTAGTGTACACAGAAATATTTTCAGGACAGGTAGGTATTTAAATCTGCACTAAATGAACTTAGAGGATTATTTTACAGAGCGGTCCAGGTGTCATCCATGTATCACTCACATCAATGGCTACCAACTTGACACACTCAAGCTTCTCTAACGTGGAGACCAGAAGAGGAAGGAAAAGAGGACAGCTGAACTTCATCTTCACACTGGGCTGAGATTTGGATTTTGAGGGAACCTCCACTGCAAGAAATACTTTGGGATGAGAATAAATTTGTTTATTTTTATGAGTTAGAGTAGTTCTTTCTCCTGTTTTATTTATTATAATCTGTGTTCATTAAGTAATACTAACCACAAGAAGAAAGTATACCCTAGAAACAGCACAGAAAAAATGTTTTAATATTAATATTGAGGGTCAAAATCTGCTATGACTAATTATATCATCTTCACTTGAGCCTGGATCTCTTAACACTTAGGTTTCTCCCATTATTAATAATTAAAGTGACTGAAAGACATTGTTGGGAATTCTGGACAAATCTCGCAACGTGAAATTCTCATCTGCTTAAAAAAGAAAATATTTCTAGGTCTCTGTGTTTGCAGATAAAAACAAAAATAAAACAAACAAAAAAGCCTGGAAAACATTCACTAAGTGTTCTTCAGCAAATCAAAAGCCAGAAGATGAATAAATTTTCCCCTACCTCCTCTTAAATTGCTTTAAAATGACATCTCCAGCCATGGCAAGAGACACAAGGCATGACTCCTTTCTTTGCAGGGTCTGGTTCAGAAACATTGTTGAAATGGGTACAACCATATTAACCCATTTTAAACATACTTTTTTGCACTGTAGCATCTCGGCTACATTTTGCCTCAATGTATCTTACTTACCATGCATACATTCTACAGTTCTACAGTGCAACACATATTACAGTTTATTTTGTGACCTATAGACAAGTAGGGTCTTCCAGTAGCAGTACTTCAGAGGAGGCACATCATCAATAGCCCCATGGTCAGAGCATTCACCTAAGACACCAGAGTTTCCATTGTATGGCTATTCTATACTTCTGCGTGTATTTGAACTTCCACTCCCCAGGGAAGTGCCCAGACAGACTTACGAAAGAACCATGAAATTCACAATGAATTCTCTATAATTATTTTAATCAGCCTAGAATTCCATGCATTTGGCAGAAAAGCTAACATTCTAGCTCAACTTTTTTGTTTACATGAAATTCTTCATGTCATTGAGGAGCTTTAGGAAACTACACACTTCCATGCGTAGTTTCTATTCAGTGGAAAAGAGAGTGAGTTAATTCAGAAATTTGTATTTCATTAAGTCTGCACTTTAGCCTTAAAATCTGAGAGTCACAAATCACCCCTTCTCATTTTCTTTCCTTACACACAATCCAGTCAGTTGCTGATTTTACATAGCTTCCATGGCCTAGAGATGTGGGCTGAATTAACAAGAGAAACAGAACACGAAACTCTGCCAGTCTCAAGTAAATGAGATTAAAAAGGAGGGGGGTCTATATAATAAAACTGTTTTAATTGCAGTAATGTTAGGAATTTCTTTTGCAAAGATACTAGTGAACTCAGAAATTTTGTTAGATTTTAGCAAACTAAAAGCTTACATTTTGACAGAAAGACTGACCTTGTTTGCCTGTACTTACTTCTGTCTTGGACTGAAGCTCTAAGTACTGGCACAAAGTTAGTAATAGCTGATATTTGACAAGAATCTGTTTAAGTGAACCCTTCCACAAAATCGATTGTAATTCAGAGAAAACTGGTATTCCAAACCCAAATCCTTGGGTAACTAAGCAAGTAACTAATTAACTGGATTACTTGGGGGGAGTTACATCAAACAACAATACTGATCAAGTACGCCCCTGACAAAGGCAGCTAGAGGTCACTGCAGCCAAAAGAAATAAGTTTTTAAAAGACACATATAATAAGAAACAAAAATAAAGAACATATTCTCTGTTTTCCCTGGGTTCATAATCTAAACCACAGGGAACAGCAGGATTATGGCCTCTGTCCTAACCCCAAGAATGTTCCTGATCAGGAAAACAAAGCAAGGAAAAGGTATAGAAGAATTTATTATTGTTTAGTTTTTGTGCCTCTCATGACATTTACATACTGCCAGTGTTCTAACAGAATCTAATGCCAAGTTTGGGCATGATGTTCCAGACCCGTTACGTGCACCTGCAGGGTTAAATGGTTAATCCAAACCACAGATGAATGTGGCTGGGAAATGATCCAGTGCTGCCACAGCATAGAATCTGTAGTATTAGCATGTATTTCTGGTACAAGAATTACAATAAACTTGACCACATTTATACCTGAAAAATAAACATCACCTGGGTACCCACTCATGTGAAATAGAACCAAATTCTGTCTAACGTTGAACCATTATCAGGTAGTCTTTGGCTGCTTCCAGATCAAGCCAAATAAACAAAACATTGGTGTTATCAGCACTGTTCTCAGACTAAAGCCAAAACACAGCACTGCACCAGCTACCTGGAAGGAGAAAAATAACTTACAGCTGATACTAGGATACACACCTGTTTTAGTTGTTGCTAGAGTAGCACTTACTCTGATCAAGGATTTTTCAAGCCCTCATGCTTTGCCAGTGAAGAGGGGCATGAGAAGCCGGCAGGAAGCAAAGACACAACATGTGATCCCAACTAGCCAAAGGGGTTTTCCATACCACAGCACACCTGCCCAGTATATAAACTGAGGTGAATTACCCAGAAGGAACTGATTGCTGCTTGGATCAGGCTAGGTATTGATCAGCAAGTGGTGAGCAATTGTATTGTGCATCACTTGCATCTTCTGAGCTATCATTTCTTTTTGTTGTTGTTTTCTGTTATTATCATTATTGTTACTGCTGGTATTCTATTACCACTATATTTTACTGTATTTTAGTTATTAAACTGTTATTATCGCAAACCATGTGTTTTACATTCCTTTGATTCTCCTCCCCATCGGGGAGATGTGGGCAAGCAGTTGCGTGGTGCTTAGTTACCGGCTGAGGTTAAATCATGACAAGGGCAAAATAATAAGGCCATGGTTTCTAAATGGCAGCCTAAACATGACTGCATGGTAACAGTGATCAAACTTGTCTAACTGGCCTTTCCTGGAGAACCCAGTGGAGGTACACTTGCAACAGAATGGTTCATGCCCTCATTTTACCAGGAGAAAGGAAAGATATTTAGAAAGTATCTATCTCTTCTATTAGGAATTATTCCTTTGTTTTATATACCTTTGAACTTACTTCCCTAAGAGTACTGGTTTATAATACCACAAATAAACCCCAAGATTCCTGGCACTACAGGCATGCTGCTGTTCACTGGTGAAAAGAGGGAAGATAAAAAAAGGTGTTCCATTTCATTTGGAACTTTGAAAATTTAGCTTAATTACTCTCCCAACGCAGAGTTCACACCAGCTAAAACTAAAATTCCTGTTAAATATGTAATGTATCTAAAAGACCAAAACAGAAGAGATCCTTGTTTGTTGCATTGAGCAAGGAAGTAAGAACTGATCTTTATGCCCTGTGCATTCTTGATTGAATTTGGGGAGCAAAAATTATTCCTAAATATTCTAACAAATCATAACTGAGAATGCAGAATTCATGACTTCAGGAATAAAAGGTATTTCAAGCTTTCAAAAATTTAATTTTTTAAATTTTATTTAAAATTTATTTAAAATGAATTTAAATTTTAAACTTAAATTTTTCAAAATTACACAAAGTAACCCAGCAGACTATATTAAGCAAAGATGGTATTAAGGTTAAAAAACATTTTCCATGGCCTCACTGAGAGCTTCTTAAACTCAGTGAGGTTTCTTTTCCATAGATAACAGCCCGCTCTGGATCCAGCTCCTAATTTATCAGCATATACTGTACTTACCCATACAGCTTTCCATACCCAAACTTCCTCTGAACTCAAAAGAACTGATATGTGTCCACCAGGACGGGGAGATGCAGCTCTCATTGCCTAAAATTATGAAAATCATCTGTCTTTTTTTACTGTTCATTAGGCATAAAGTAAATCTTACCTTATCAAGTTCATCAGAAATAGCAATGCCTGAAAACAAAACAGATTAAAAACACATAATTTAGAAACATTCTTTCTATAAATGTCTTTAACTGCAGTAAGTAAAACTAAGGTTTAATCTGGAAAGTTTACCTATTGTTCCCTGCACACTGCTGTACCATACAATGGTACAATATTCTCTTCCATTAGTGAAATTGCCTGGAAACAATATACTCTTAACTTTCCTCAGCTACAATATTACCAAAAGGAGCTTTCAAAAAAACAAGGAAACGAAAATGGCAGATTTGCCAGTAAGTGACAATGAGCTTAAGTATACTTCTACCTGCTTTCTAAACTTAAAGCAGCAACATAAAATTTACATATGGACACATTGTTATGCAAATCTCACCCTGACCAGCATGCATAACATCATGCTGCAATTACAGGGCAACATGGACATGACTTCTTTCTTTCTCCATGGTTCAGTATAGAAAAGATTCTATGAAAACATATGGAATTTAAAGAGTGGAAAATCTCACTATAAATTTCACTATAAAATGCAAACCAGTTTTTCTAAATCCCTTTAAAAAGAACTTGCTTGTTTGCTCTTGTCCTTTCTTCTGATACCTGCCTGAGGCTTTCCTACGCTTGCTTCCATCATGTCATCTAACTCTTACATATATGCATAGCTGGTGTTGGAATTGTTAATGTATCTATACACCTCAGTCATATCACATGGAGAGAGCAAGTAATCATACATTTCATGCTATCACATTGAAAATTCTTATATATAGAAAGTAAAGTGTTTCTCAGGTTCCTATGAGGTTTCATAAGAAACATTTCCAGTTTAGAGCTTCAATTAAAAAACCACTCTGGTGAAAATAAAGTGGAGAAGTGTCCATGCATAGTAAGAATACACACTTGAAAGTAACTGTCTAATTCATATCACATTATTAAGACAACTTCATCCAAGGAATGCTAGAGGTGGTATTGCGAAATAATTAGCATCAGCTGAGTGAAGAGTTATTCTTTCTAAAATCACACTATAAAGATTGCCACAGCATAAGCTTATTTCCATGACATTTTTATTTCTTATTATTTGGTACATTGTAACTACAAGAATTCTTTGGTTTTTTTACTATACTTTGAATCATTAACTCTATACAGCTAATTCTCAGTTTAGATGACTTCTTTATACAGATTTTTGTTTTAAAATCCTAAAGTGCTAAAAGAATTGAAATTACAATTTTAAGACCTCATCAACATGTAAGAAATATGTCAGGATTAAAGAGAGTATTTCAGTCACTCAACAGTTCTAAAGTAGATTACATTGAAAAATATGCATTTTGCTTAACCCTTCTACCCCTCACAACAATTAACCTGTTTTAATAACTTCAGGCTTTTATTTAGCCCAGATAGATACTACACTAATGTGTATACAGTATAATCAGGAGGTTGCACCAACCTGAATCATTCAACAGGACTTTAATGTATTATGAGTTTCTTCAATACCCAATAGGCATTTACTAGAGGGAAGATAACTCTTTGCACACTCTTTGAGGTAGTAAAACCGTAATTCAAGATTCTATTTATCTCAACTTTGAAAACCTGATTTCCATCAACCAGCTCTCACATTGGATGTATTTTGCATAACCACATATTACAACCACAAATACTCTCTCTAAAAAGACAAACTGACTTTTTTTTTTCAGCTATTTACCATAATGTTAAGACTGTTCATTTTGTTTTGTACAGGCTTTTATTTCCTCAGATTGGAAGTTGTTCAACTTTTCTTCTTCTTTCACAGATGCTCTTTGAATGGATCTTTGAAACCTGGGAGCAGATGCAAGAGCCATTTTTCCCTGTGCTGACATACTCATTAAAACTATTATTTGTCATTAAACTAAACATTAAAACTATTTATTGTCAAGTTGCCATATTTGTCAAGTATGACAAAAGAAACTACAAAAGCTAACCCTGCCATTTCCAAGACTCTATTGCAAAAAACATCAAATGATTTTACTATTCAACTGACTATGTTGCTAATCAAAGATCAATAATGAAAGTACCAAACAGCACATACAGGAAACACTGTATATAAAAATATATGGCTCACAAAAAAAAGCTCTACTAACTTCTCTGATTAAGTTACATGTAAGCACATAAAATTGAAAAACACCCCTAATCAAAAGGACTGCTTTCAGCAAAATGTTTTTTTGTATAAGTCCCATCAGTTCCTCAGAATTTATTCTGAATTTAGAGAAGACTAAGCTGCATAATTGAATTGTCCCCAATGTCTCAAATTTCTTCTTTACTAAATCGCAAACAAGAGCAAGACACCAAAACTAACTGTATTTCTTAGATAACCATGTAGAAAAATAGCTGTTTCTGAGGACATCTTGCCAAAATTAAATTTTAAAAGTTTACTAAACTTTTATCTTTGTAACCCCTTTGCAAGAATTAAACCTGCAAAATCTTTTTATATCTCCTTCTGATGTGGTATCAGAAGAAAAGAAAAAGGATTCTGCTGATTACCATAATCTTGGCATGTTGATTCTTCCAGTGGCAGGGTCTACCATCTTGTCAGTCATACAGATTTTTTTATGTTATGGCTTAAGCCCCATTAATATTAATAAAACTCGACTAGTTACTGATAATACAAGTCCATTAGCAGAGATTGGGATAAATTAATTCATAAAAAGGTGGTTGTAAAAAAGCTTCTAATTTTCTTCCAGGACACTACTTCACCACATACTTAGTGTGTGCCCAGTCTTACCAGTTTTCCTTTGCAGTTGCCAAACTGACAAAATATCATGGCTGAACTTGAGAGGAGGGGGGACCTGCACCCTGTGTGCAGTAGATAAAAATTTATGTCACTGTAATGATTTTCTGAGTATAGATCTCAGGTGGAATTATATGGACTTCAATTTTCACAAAGTAAACCCATTGCATATTTACCATAATATTAAAAAACAGAAAATCCAAGACACCTTAATCCAGAATCCTGAGAATGCAACTAGAGATAATAATAATTATCACACAGGCGTATTTACAGTTTCTGTTACTCTCTTAAATTTAGCACACACCTGACTTTTCAGTAGTCAAATAGGTTACTGTCAGTTACTTTATTTTCAAATACTACCTTGACAATGTAAACACGTGAATTTCTACAAAGTAATGATAACAGCGGTTGCCATCTCTGGGTAATGTAATTGCTACTATCCAGAGATTAGTATTATTCAAAAAGAAAACCCTCTTTTCACTTATCTTGTGTATTTGACAGCAAATAATTGGTTGTGCTCTCTGTAGCTTGTATAGCTATTTTCACCTTTTCTTTTTTCTGTGACTTTCATACAGCGTCAAAGAGGAAATATAAGTTTTAGTTCTTACATATTCTAAATAGGAAAATGTCATCGTAAAATCACAGAACACTAGAGACAAAGGGGACAGCTTATTTCATGAAACTATTCTAAATGGAAATAGCTACATTTCAGGTTTAGGCAAAACATCCATAGGTGTAGCTAGAATGTCCACACACTAAAATCTTTTTACCTAACAAGTTAGCCACTTCCTCAAACTGTAGCCTTTTTTCCTCACAACTTAATTCAAATCACCAAAAATCAGTAACATCAGCAAAATTGACAAATCTAGTTTGTTCAACCTTGAAACCAATGGCTTTGTCAGAATTTATGTTTTTAGGAACAACTGCTTCTGACTTCCCTCAGCTTAAAGCATTCAAAGCCTGACTCTGCATGATGGTGAACATACAGAATAGAAGTTTTCTGGCTGTTCCATCATTGCTCTGCCTCAAGTCACTAAGCAGTGGATAAGAAGGGGACTCTTGAAGAAGGTCTTCTGCCTTTGCAGGGGAAGGTCTGACCTCAAAGGCAAATCCTTCAGAAATAAAGGAGTATGCTTTACCCTTTCTCTCATAGCAGCTGTTTCTCACAGACAACATTTGCTATAATTTTATATTATACTATGATTGACAACTGTACAACAGTCCTACATTCTTATTTTTTGCAATGAGAAAGTGCAGTGCTCCAACTAATGGGGTGAGAGGTTTGCCTGACACCCTCAATCAGCTAAAGTTCACAGACAAGGTTTACAGTGGAAATTAGATGCCTAACTGCCAATTTTATGGCTTTAAAAGTCCTTCCTTTTACAAGTAATTACGGGTGCTGAATTTTGATCAGGTGTCACAAACAACCAGCCCACTCAGCTGTCTGATGAATTACACAGACAGACTCTGGGCTGTTGTTTCTAGTTTTAAGTGTAATGACCCTCTGTGCTGGAACAATGAAGTAATTGGCCTGAACATGCTTTCACAGTCCTTCAGAAGTGCTCCACAGCCACAACTACTGCCGTCTCTGATCAGCAACAAATCTGGAGTGGGGCTGTTAATGCTAGCACAGCCTTTCTCAACTGGAACACTTTTATCCTGCCAATAGCTTGGCTTTTGAAAAGAACTGGAAGAACAAGCTACCCTCTGCAAGAAAGGTCTGGCCCACTAAGTTTAAGTGAAACCTGACTACCAGAGAATTTAATGACAATGCAACTTATTAATACTTATTATATTTTAATTACTATTTCCATGCCTCCATTAGGAAAATTGCCCAAAAGGAGATCTCACCGTATTAGCCCTGTAGCTTATGTTTATTTCTACCTAAAATATTAAACTAGTTGTTTATCATGCTTTTTTTTTTTTTAATTAGCATGGATTATTAAAAACATTCCTTACATGGTTATCTTGGATTTCTGTTCCCAATCTTCTATCCCTATGGCAATCTGCTGCAGCACAATGTTAAGAATGGAGAAACAAAGATGACGTACTATTCGTGATCAGCTTTACAGTAGCTTAAAAATTTGTGATATCTTCCTATGTTATACATGCCTGAAATTTTAGAACAGGTGTTCTGGTAAGACTGAAAGTTATGCTTTTATTTGTGGTCCTTAAATAATTACAGGAAGAGGGAACACACAACAAAAATTAGTTGATTTTTTTTTTAAGAATTACATTTTTATAAATGCACAACATACATCTGACAACT